CCCCAAAACCCCAAAACCCCAAAACCCCAAAACCCCACAAGTAATATAATAACTAAAATAGTGAATTAGCGCAATGTATTAACGAAAATTTATTAAGTAACTATGATTTCTCAATTAGACTTTTGATATTGGTTTAATCTCATTGAAGATATTCAGGGTGAGCCTTCAATTCCTCCTAGGGCCATATTCCCACTTGAATTTCTCCAATATGCCTTTTTCTCAACATCCACATAAGCACTCTGTCAATCCCAATACCACCTCCAATTGAATATACAATTTTCTCATCAACAATAGACTTGTGATAATCCAATTATTTAGTGTACTCCCAGCTTCCTCGAATAATTGATTGCAATTCTAACGATTTAGGACATACTCTTATGCCCATAGATGAAAGTTCTAGTGCAGTATCTAAAGTAGAATCCCAAACTAGAATATCTCCATTTAATCCTCGGTACCCATTATCGCAGTTTTGAGTAGACCAGTCATCTTAGTCTGGATTTCTATCGCCATGAGGCTAGCCGCTCTTAGGTAGAGGATAGCCAATACCTATGATGAATACGGCACCAAACTCCTTAGTGATGCTAATTTCCCTTTCTCTTGGTGTAAGCTTAGGGAATCTTTCCTCTAGTTCCTCTGAGTGTATGAATTGAATTTAATCAGGCAATTAGCATTATAGTTAAGCTGAATATCGTTTGACAAGTTCTTCCTCTACTTTTTTGAGACTAGTGAAGATTTTTCTCACAGTACTTTAGAGATATTCAATATTTCTATCCTTTATTAGGATTGTTTATTCCCACTCAAGCTGGGTTACGTACAAGGAGTGTGTAGCAGTAAGCTCAGGTTCGTAAGCTCTTATGAAATGTCCCTCAGTGTAGATTCCACTATAGGGTTCAAACCCTTGAATAGATATTAAATTTCATTTCCATTTTGCAAGTGAGTGAAGAGTTTCTAAATGAATCCCAGGCAACTAATGATATTAGAAATTGACTAAAGACATTGTATTTCAATGATTTAAGGGCATATCTTATAAACCAGTACCTGCAGGAATGAAAAGAGGGGCTTATACTCTAATCAAGTTAAGCTCATTAGAGAGAGAGTCGAAGAACTGTTGCTTGATAAAATTAATAGCTCTCATCAATTCTTTGTAATTAACGAGAGAATTTACTTCTAAACTTATTATTGGAGTTACCATTAAAGGTTAAGTTAAAGATACTAGTTATATGATTTTAAGATTATAAATATTTTTCAGAAAATAATATTATACTTTCTTTACGGGGTTTTGGGGTTTTGGGGTTTTGGGG